AAACTCTTTCAACCGCTAAGTTGCCTCATTTCCAACGAATGGTGAGTGTTGTGATAAGCACCATACGTTGGCAAATGTTCATTAAAGAGGAGAATTATGATGAAATGGGCCGTTTTGAAGCATGGGAAAAAGGCGAAGTTTTAGGGGCCACCACAAAAATTCTGCCATTGTTCAGTACCATAGGTTTAACAATTCGCGCAGTAATGCGCGTCAGCCAAACTGGTTAAAAAAAATCTTAAAGTCCAAAAGTAACCTGTTGAAAAAATATTCGATTCCATATATTTCTCTCTCAAGTATTTTCCAGACTTCACGTGCTGCAGAGCACCCTCAGCTGTCATTTGTCCAGCGGAACAATGCGCTCTGAAACGCACAGGGTGAAAGGGACAAAAACTGAATAGCCCTTCTCCAGTACATGGAAATGTTTCTGCCACCTCCCCACTGATAAGACTCTATAGCACAACATCGCTGAGGAATCTTCAACAAGGGTGGGGCATATTTGACTCGTTGGGCGGGGGAAACCAGAGTTGCTGGAAGCATGTATCAAGCTGCGTTCAGACTTGGGTCGGCATTTCTAGCGTCCTTCAGCGCCAGCGACTAGGAAGATATAGATAAATCAAGCGTTCTAAGCGTACTCCCGCATTTTGAGCCAATTCGCGGAAAAAGGTGGTGTAAGCTCATAACGCTAGATCGATTCCCGTACTAACTAGTCGCTCAAATCGCTGACACAGGCTCAAAACGCTGACGAAAAGTATGAACACAATCTCAGCACCAAACGGTGTAGGAATATCAGAAAATAAGGATTTTGTCACTGGTCGAAGAATAGTGTATGCCACTGCCTCCTCCGGCCTCTTAGGTCCCTTAGGTGAGAAAGGGGAATGAAGCTGGCGTAGCGAGTTGAAGGGAATCATACTTGAGGCGATAGTTCACGAGGGAAGGGATCGTACCGTCGCGGCTGCATACATACTTCATCCATATGATCGGTCCTCACTCGAGGAAAACCGACACCTTTCAATGAAATAATTGAAGTTACGGAGAATTTCCCTGCACTTCCACCTAGTTCAAATCAAAGGATAAAAACCCGCAGCGGATTTTGTCCAGACCAACCGATTGTTCCATCGCCAGCTCCTATAACTGGTCTGCGTGGGACATAGGTGGTCAAAAACACCTGCTTGCACTAGGCAAAATATCAACCGGCCTGCTTGCACTAGGATTCTCGACAGAAACGCACTGCATGGCGTACCCCAGAAGGCATTGCTGCCTGGGAATTACTGTCCCTTGACTAACAGTGAATAACTGAAACGGAATGGGAAAATATTGGTAAAACTATCACTTACAATGACGGGATTTTGGTGAGGTTTCCAAATCTCACGTCGGTTCGCAAAAAGAAATTGAAATCGTCACTCTCTATCAGTTTTTTGTACATTTCGAAATCCTGCCGATCTTGTTCTCTGAACGGAAGGCACCCAGCTGCATCCTCCACGGTGTGCAATGGAGATCTGTAAACAATACAAATATATGTTCTGATTAACTGCAAGGTTTAATCCAGCCCACAAGAAAATCGCAGCTACTAGATGAGCCACTATTATGGCGGTAATGTAGTTCTGGGGAGAGGGGCGAAGGGAAGGGGGGGGGGGGGGGGCGGCAGCGCCTTTTCCTACCTTCTCCGAGGCCAAGGCGAGCGTAACCGCGGCGAGAGCAACTAGATATATTAGGTTGTCGCATAAGTTCTTATACACGACTTTTTTGTAAATATCTCAAAAACGAACCAGCCTGAGATTAGAGGTATGCACCATCACCATTCACTACTCGACGCCAGCGCTCAGGCAGCTTGTCGATTCCATCCTTCCAGAACGACGGAGGCTGGGACTTGAAGAAGTCGTCGAGCGCCTTTCTGACCTGATCCTTTGTTTCGAACTTTTTTCCGTCCAGATAGCGCTGCAGGTGGCTGAACAGCCAGTAGTCAGAAGGAGCGAGGTCAGGGCTGTAGGGAGGGTGGGCGACCATCAGCCATCCGTACTTCTCCAGCTCGGCCTGGGTCGCCTTTGCAGTGTGAGGTCGGGCGTTGTCATGGTGGAAGTAGATTTCCGCATTCCTTCCACGAGTACGGTCGACGTGATCTTTCAATTTCCGCAGCTGGGTCACGTATGTGGAAGCGTCAATCGTCTGTCCCTTCTCCAGCAGCTCCCAGTACTCCATGCCTCTTCTGGACCACCAACAGGACAGGAGAACCTTTTTGGGGTGAAGGTCGGCCTTTGGGGTGGCTTCTGGCTGTTCTCCTTTGTCGACCCACTGCCGCTTCCTCACAGGGTTATCGTAGAGGACCCACTTCTCATCTCCAGTGATCATCGAGTTGAGAAAGTGAAGCCTCTTTTGGAAAGTGAGAAGTGCAGGTGGTCACCCTCGAGAGGTCATAAGCGGACAGTTCATGTGGGACCCATCGACCAAGCTTTGCTACCTTGCCGAGCTTTTCTAGTCCACGTGCAACCGTCGAATGATCATAGCTAAGCATGGTCGCCATTTCTCTGGTGGTGAGGTACGGGTCCTCCTCCACGGTGGAACGTAGTACTTCCAAATCCAACTCCATCGGCCGACCCGACCTCGGAGCATCTTCGAGAGAAAAGTCTCCTTTCTTGAATTTGGCGAACCAATTCTTGCATGTCATGTAAGAGATGACGTCCTCACCGTATGTATCCACCAGCTTGGTATGGGCTTCCTTTGCATTCCAGCCGAAATCGTGGAGCAAAACCAAACAGTGGCGCAGGTACGTTTTGTCACAGTGCAAATTGTGTACTGCAAATGCAAGCTCGGTGAGTGATAGCTAGTGTAATGAAAGAGTATAATGTACACGTACACGTGATGACGTAATACCAACATCCATGCGAACGAAATAGGAGAGGATCAAACACGTGTATAAGAACTTATGCGACAACCTAATACGCAAACAGATTCTGGCGCATGACATGTGCCAAAACCCAAATGATTCAGCGAGAAATGAAAATCGACTAGTCAGAAACAGCTCGCTCCTTCGCGCGCGACGAATGCCCCGAACTATGCCCGGCTTACAAATTACTATTTTTGTCAAGTCCGTCCCTTCTACGTCCTTATTTTGTCAATCTTCCCCACTGATAAGACCCTTTAAGACCCTTGATCCGTCGCTCTGCTTCACTCATGAGTTTCCGGAGTTGACGAAATAGGAAAGGTTTGTCTGCGGGTCAGGGACGAAACAAACCAGTTGTCTTTTGTAGAAGTTTTTCTACTCACGTCAATTTCGTTTCCTGCTTAGGCCCAGCAGAACACACATGACCTGACCTCGCCGGGAGGTCTCGCAGGGTAGGCATAGTCAAGAGGCCGCCTGTGCCTCCTCCAGTTGTACATTGTTTTCGTGCAATGATTGTTTTTCTATATGCATCCTGTTGCAGCTACTATTCAAACCAAAGTGGTCAGGAGATCCGAGTTGCGGCGGCGCAGCGAAAGGCACACGCGACACTGACTATGAATTATCATGCCGCCACTCGCGTACTGATTTGGGCAGTGTTCATAGATCGCGACTAGAGCGCTATAGGTGCCAGTTCCAGCTCTGGCTGATCCCCACGCCCCATCGCTAATTGTTGGATTACATCAACTGCTAGTTCAACTCTACTCAGTCCTAATCAGTGCAGAACTCCTTTCGACCTTTGCAGGCGTCCAAAAATTAGCGGTGGAGCGCACAACATGAAAGCTCCTAAAAAAAATCCCAATCCTCACCTTTCACCATGTCGGAATACTACGGTAACGCCTCTCAGTCGAAAACGTTCATCATTAATCTGACCCTCCTCGCCCTGCCAATCGCGTTCCAAGAACTCGCACATCTCACTCCATTCAGCAGGAACATCATAACGCGTTTCTGTGGGAAGGTTTTCGCTATTTGAAGATTCCGTCGCTGGACCTACTGAAAAAGAGCACCACTGACCATCAATAGTTAGTAACTGGAAAAAAAAAAACAAAAAAAAACATTTCATTACAGGTTTTCTCTAACCCGGGTTTCCGTCGTGAATAACCTAGCTTACCAGCGAGAGCATAGTAAAAGCTGATGAATAGAAAGAGCTGGCTGGCCGGTAATTGTACCCACATGGAGACGACTGCAAACTAACTTATGGGACACGACACTCGGACGGATCGGCCAACAGAAAAACTCGTGAAAAGGATTCCAATTGTTCGTTTAGGAATTACAATTACTGTTTTAACACATACTTAGCGTACTATGAACTTGTTTTTGCCTCTTTCACGATTGAAGCTATAGAAATGGATTAGAAGGAAAAAACAACAAGGAACAGCCAAAGAACATATCAGTCCAAAGAAAAACAGCATGAGTCTGAAGTCTCAGTCCACCAATCTGCGGCTTTTTTCCCTAACGCAAGTCGCTGTAAAAGGAATAAGGAAATAAAAGAGCACCTCAGAGAGGAGATTCAAATACGGGGTCCAAAAAAGGGTGGACAGAGCGCAGAACAGGATAGGAATTTTTGAGTATTCCAGTGCTATAATACCTACTGTGCATCACTGAAAAAGGTGCAGGCAACTAAGTTTTTTTTGAGACTTTTGAGTTGTGCAGTAAATACAGTGGGAGCATATTAGTGTTATCCACAACATTCAAATATGCATTAGGCACCGGCATAGCACAATACTGAGAAACTCCGAATTCGAATAATGGGAACACCATAAAAGTGGGCGGAGTTTGACTGCATTGGGCGGAGCCTGTATGGGATTATTAGATTTATAAGTGACAAAATATACTGCATCATAAGAATCACTTTTTACTTCTTGAACAATAAATTCGTCGAAAACGCAAAAATCTCTAAAAAGAGGCGTGGCCGAGGGGCGGGCATAGCGTGATTACTGTAAAAATTGCCTCCTATGTGCGGATGTTAATATCTGTGAAAAGGTCAATAAAAATCAATGTTGGTGAAATAAGTTATAAATGGATAAATGGGCGAAGTCGACCGCGGCGGAGTCAAGTGTACTATCAAGAAAAAGTGTATTTAAGGGTCTATGTGTGTAATAGATGAAAAGTGTGAAAAACTAGTATAGATGCAGTATATAGTGTAAAATGTATTCAATGTGAGTGTAAATTGTGTCGCGGCAAAAAGGGCAGAGTTATCGGGGGCGGAGCATGCGATAGGGTCCATTGCGTGCATATATGAGTGGTGGGCGCTCAGCGCAAAAGGGAAAAAGCCGCTTGCGGAAGGAACCCGAAAAAAGCTTTTCTAATTTTTCCCTTTACCTGCGCTCTCTACCCCTTTCGGAAACTTCAAACTCCAATTGCTCGATTATGTCCCCGTCATGAGTGTGTCCCCGCTTCTGCTGAAGATTTCTGTTGATATTGCCGTGAAATCTGCTGCCGCTTGAAATAATGTGTTTTCATATTTCCTGTGCAGTCGCCGTAATTTTTTCACGTCGATCTTCGACCAGCGGTGACCAGGGTACAGCATCGTGATGTGTAATGGTGGTGTCAGTGCGACCTCCCCCACCGAAAGAGGGTTCGGTACGACCCTTCCCCTTACCTCACACCTACCTACAAATTTCCCACATTTTCCAGTTTCAGCCAAAAATTTTCCGTCGAGCAGGGGACGGCGGGAAGGGGTATATAGCTAACGTAAAACGGGGGAATTTCTACATTTTCCCCCATATTCCCACCACTTTTTCCGGAATTTCCCGAAAATTTTCTTAATTTTCCCCGAAAATTTTGCTGTTGAGCGGGAGTATAGTACACATGAAACAGGAAAAATCACGAAAAGTCAACAACCGGGAAAAATTTTTTTCCCAACGCGGCAAATTCCTCTCGAAGCCACATACGACCCCCTCCCAACAACGATCAAATACGACCCGCCCTCTCCAGCCGAAAAGTACGACTTCCTATGTATTTCAAACAACGATACTCTACCCTGGCGTCCCGCTTTGCCGTACTGTAGTAATACAGACTGCCTCTGCTCCCGTTTTCAGCAAAGGAGAAAATTATCGTGCACACTGCCTTTATGTAAAAATTGTGATCAGAATGTGACCAAAAATACAAATATCTCTAGTAGACCGCAACCTAGATGCTACCTTGCTCTCCTAGCCTTTCCACTGGACCAGGGAACCATTCACTGAGTTTCGATCATCGATTTGTTTCTCGCAAGAAATGAAGTTTGATCGACATTCTGATCAGTTCCACTCCATTTGGCAAAATGCAAAAAGATAACAGAGACCACCTATGGAGACGCTACTCTATCACACCACTATCGAGCTTCATTGTGTGAGAGGGGGCAGACGACTGTCAGATCTTCTTAATGCAAGGACAGTATTTTTGGCTGTAAAACACCGTGGAGAGTGAAGAGAATAGATGAATAGGGAAAAATTGAAGGATCGACATTGTCAGCCGGACATAAAGAAATTTTGAAAGGAAAAAAGTGTAAATGTTGTCATGGCACTCCCAGAGAAAGTTCGAAAAGAACAGAGCAAGGATAACTTGCTCTCTGAGATGCGCCATGCATTTTATTTTTATTCAGGAAAGCGGAACACTGGAAGCGATTTGGCCCATACAATTAACTGCGCAGGGGCGACTACATGCGATTTGACGAAACAGAACACCACCCTCCCTCACTCTTCATTAGTGGGTCAGAGATTGCCAGCTGCTCAGTGGAGAGTAGATAACATCAGTCAATTCAGATTTACGGCCCATCCGTTTGACATGAGCAAGACTTTACTGCACAAGAATAATAAGGGTAAAGTATAAAGTATTCGCCATCGGTCAATCCGTTAGTGGAATGCGGCACGCCTTTTGATTCCATTCCGAACCGTAGTGGCTTCATGGATGCGATGTGGCCTATACGCCACGCGGGGGCAAGCCGATGTGCGAGTCAGATCTTTATCCATCCAGACGACCAATCTGGTAAGAGTTTACCGTCCCCGGATGGTAGAAGAAATGGATGGCCTAAGCGGGAGCCGATCAAGGATCTCAGGGTCGTACGTGTGGTAAGCCTGTCACTTCGCACTTCGCCACCTCTTCCTGCCGCACCAGCATACCTAGTTCTAAAGGATATCAAGGAATTAAGGATATCCTGACTCATCCACTTTACTTGAATGTAAAAAATTAAAGCCGTTCTGCTGAACAGATATAGTGCATCAGAAGCATGACAAAAGATATTTGTTAGGAACAGGGGACAGTATTTCGATGATGATTTTTCAATCACACCCAGGGTGGGGGAGGGGGTGGAGGTTATAGTATAACGGTAAAATATTGGCCACGGGAAGGAAAGAGCCTGCTATACGAAACGTCCCCTTTCAGAAACTGGAAAGCGAGCCCCAGTTTCACTACTCTGGTCTCGTCGACGGTTTGTCAACGATTAGACCCTATCTGTCTTTACTGCCTCAAAACTTTGTCGAACCCAGATTAAGCTAAAAAACAACCCTCTAGAGCGAGCCTGACATCCTGAATACTACTGTCATACACCCACCCCGAGATAGCCTGGCGGCTGCGCCATATGCACCAACACAAGCAAAAAGCTTTAAATTACCAAATTTGCTTTAAAACTGCCACCGAGGGTAGTTTTACCCGTTGAGCTGAAATATCCCAACCGCTTGGCATGGAGCACCTGCCACTGGCGCTCGCGTCATAGGCGATAGCTTCATATGTCTGTTTTGACCACAGTGGGTGTAGGGCAGAG